CTCACAACAACCTCCCAATTCCTGGGCTCAAGTGATTCTCTTGCCTCAACCTCCCAAGTAGCTAGGACTACAGGCACCTGCCACAATGCCCAGCCATTTTTTGGTTGTAGTTGTCACTGTTGTTTGGCAGGCCTGGGCTGGATTCGAATCTGCCAGCTCTGGGTGTATGTAGCTGAAGCCTTAGCCACTTGAGCTACAGGTGCTGAGCCCATCATTCATCATTGTTGTTTTAGCTGGCCTGGGACCAGATTTGAACCTTCACATAACCCAGTGTATGTGGCTGACGCCCTATCTACTGAACTGGGCTCCACCCATGAAACTTATTTTTTTTTCTTTCTTTCTTTTTTTTTTTTTTTTTTTTTGCAGTTTTTGGCTGGGGTGGGTTTGAACCCGCCACCTCCAGCATATGGGGCCGGCACCCTACCTTTTGGGCCACAGGTGCCGCCCATGAAACTTATTTTTGATGTTATTTGTAAAACCACATGTAGTGAGAATAAGATGGAGTCTTTCAGGCTAGGGTGGACGTGACATAGCTGGTCTGGTTGTTTTAGGTCCTAGTGACCTTCACCTCCTGCATCTCACTATTTTTTTTTTTTTTTTGTGACAAATTCTCACTTGGTCACCTTTGGTAGAGTGCCGTAACATCTTAACTCACAGCAGCCTCAAGCTCTTGGGTTCAAGTGATTCTCTTGCCTCAGCCTCCCACACAGGTGGGACTACAGGTGCCTGCCACAGCACCTGGCTATTTCTTAGAGACAGGGTCTCACTCTTGCTCAGGTTGGTCTCAAAATCATGAGCTCAGGCAATCCACTTGCCTAGCCTCCCAAGTGCTGGGATTACAGGCATGAGCCACCATGCCTGGCCCTAACTCTCATTCTTACTATTTTTTAAATTTAGCTCCCACCCGTAGATGCCCATCTGAATAATTTAGGAGTTGACTTTTTAATTGGAGATGTTGTAATATATTATCACTGAGTTGTGCTGATTGTTATTTAAAATAAGAATTATTGTGGTATTTACTGTACAGAACCATTATGTATAAACTGAAATTTTGGAAATGGAAGAACAGAATAGTCTTATAGAGGCTACTGTCACTGTTCTCCAGTATTGCTAGCCTTCTGTTAAAGTTTGGACCTATCTATCCCCTTCTCTGTTTATTGGCTAACATTGCAGGTGTCTGGGACCCTCTTTGTCCATTAACATTGAAACAATTGAGAATTAATTTGCACTATACTGTTTATAGAAGTTCAATTTATAATCACAAAAATGTGGAAACAACCTAAATGTGCACCAACCCAGGAATGAATTAACAAGCTGTGGTATATGTACACCATGGAATACTATTCAGCTGTTAAAAAGATGGAGACTTTACATCTTTTTTTATTAACCTGGATAGAGGTGGATCACATTCTTCTTAGTAAAGCGCCACAAGCATGGAGAAGCAAGAATCTAATGTACTCAATTCTTTTTTTTTTTTTTTTAAGACAAAGCCTCAAGCTGTCCCCCTGGGTAGAGTGCTGTGGCATCACAGCTCACAGCAACTTCCAACTTCTGGGCTCAAGCTAATCTTCTGCCTCAGCTTCCCAAGTAGCTGGGACTACAGGTGCCTGCCACAATGCCTGGCTATTTTTTGGTTGCAACTGTCGTTGTTTTGGCGGGCCAGGGCTGAATTCGAACCCGCCACCTTAGGTGTCTGTGGCTGGCACCTTAGCCACTTGAGCCACAGGCTCAATTCTAATGTGAACACAGTAGATGAGCAAATACAAGGAGTTGGGTAGAGGAATGAAGTAGCAGGGATGGGGTGGAGGCAGGGATGGGAGTCACAGTATATGGCACACTTCTTGGGGGGTGAGATACAAGTACAAGAGGGACATTATCTAACAAATACAATCAGTGTAACCTAATTGTTTGTACGTGCAATGAATTCCAAACAATAAAAAAAAAACCACTTAAGAATTGCTAAATAGGGCTCAGTGCCAGTAGCACAGTGGATACAGCACTAACCACATATTCTGAGGCTGGCAGGCTCCAACCCAGCCCGTGCCAGCTAAAATAACAATGACAAATGCAACAGAGAAACAGCTGGGCATTGTGGCAGACGCCTGTAGTCCCAGCTACTTGGGAGGCTGAGGCAAGAGAATTGTTTAAGTCCAAGAGTTTGAGGTTGCTGTGAGCTGGGACGCCATGGCACTCTACCGATGGCAACATAGTGAGACTCTGTCTCAAAAAAAAAAAAAAAAAAGGTTGCTATATAGGCTCAGTGCCCAAAGCACAGTGGTTGTGGTGCCAGCCACATGCACCGAGGCTGGTGGGTTCAAACCCGGCCTGGGCCAGCTAAACAACAATGACAACTGCAACAAAAAAATAGCCAGGTGTTGTGGTGGACACCTGTAGTCCCAGGTACTTGGGAGGCTGAGGCAGGAGAATCACTTGGGCCCAAGAATTTGAGGTTGTTGAGAGCTGTGATGCCATGGCACTCTACTGAGGGCAACATAGTGAGACTGTCTTAAAAAAAAAAAAAAGGTGTGACGCCTGTGGCTCAGTGACTAGGGTGCCGGCCCCATATACTGAGGGTGGCAGTTTCAAACCCAGCCCCGGCCAAACTGCAACAACAAAAAAATACCCGGGCATTATGGTGGGCATCTATAGTCCCAGGTACTTGGGAGGTTGAGGCAAGGGAATCGCCTAAGCCTAGGAGTTGAGGTTGCTATGAGCTATGACACTACAGCACTGTACTGAAGAGCAACAAAGTGAGACTCTGTCTCTAAAAAAAAAAAAAAAAATTGCTAAATAAAATATGAGTTTTGTCAATTCTAGTTGTGTCAAATATATAAGTTAAGATGGAGACTAGTGAAATTTGGTAGTACCTTGGTGTGGGTAAGGGTATATGACAGGATGGATGCTTTTGAACATGTCAAGCTATAATGTGCTTTTCTCTGCAGGCTTCATCTACTGCTTGAAGTTTTTGCCCAGCTTGCATTATTTCTAGGAGATCCTGCATCACATCTTTATCCATAGCCTTCCCTTTGGTCTTAAATCAAGAAGTTTTAACTGTGGACATCAGAATCGGTGGAGCAGCAATCATGGTAAGATGTACATTAAGTTAGAAGGATGAGGAGCTTTTATAAAGACCCAAAGGAATACTTTGCTGGCATGTGGGGTGATTTTGAGTTCTGAATGTAAGAAATAAGGATATTTGTGGATATGGATTCTTACTGCAACAGCTGGACATGAGCAATTTCTCCCCCCCCCCTTTTTTTTTGAGGCAGTCTCACTATGTCGCCCATGGCATAGTGCTGTGGTGTCACAGCTCACAGCAACCTCAAACTCTTAGACTTAAGTGATTCTCTTGCTTCAGCTTCCCAAGGAGCTCGGACTACCGGCGGTCCCTGCCACAACCTGTTTTTTGTCATTGTTGTTTAGCTGGCCTGGACCAGGTTTGAACCTGCCTCCCTGGGTGCATGTGGCTGGTGCCTTAACCATTGTGCTATGGGTGCTGAACTGACATGAGCAATTTCTGATGACGTCCTATTAATAGAGGTTTGGAAGCCATTTTTTTTTTGTGAGACAGAGTCTTAGTTTGTCACCCTCGTTAGATTTCTATGGTGTCACAGCTCACAGCAACTTCCAGCTCTTAGGCTTAGGTGATTCTCTTGTCTCAGCCTGCTGAGTAGCTGGGACTATGGGTGCTCGCCACAACGCCTGGCTATTTTTTTGTTGCAGTTTGGTTGGAGCTAGGTTTGAACCCCCCACCCTCTGTGTATGAGGCCAGCACCCTATTCAGTGAGCCACAAGACACCACCCTGGAAGCCATCTTGAGAGGTTTTTTTATGATGTGAAAAAATACAGAAGTTTTTTCTTTCTTTTTTTTTTTTTTTTGAGATAGTGTCTTACTTTGTCACCCTGGGTAGAGTGCTGTGGCATCATAGCTGATAGCAACCTCCAATTCTTGG